GCTGAGTGAAATGAGCAGAACCAAGAGAACGCACACAGTAACAGCCACACTGTGTAATGAATAACTTCGATAGACTTAGCTCTTTTTAGCAATGCAAGGATCTAAGACATCTACAAAAGTCTCATGATGGAAAATGCTATCCACATCCAGAGAAAGAACTATGGAGTTTGAATGCAGATCAAAGCATACTATTTGCTCTTTTTTTTCTTCTGTTTTATTTTCTTTCTTCTTTCTTGTGGTTCCTCCTATTAGTTCTAATTTTTCCTTAAAACATGACTAATGTGAAAATATGTTTAATAGGTATGTATATGTACAGCCTATATCAGATTGCACAGCATCTTGGGAGGAAGGTGGGGAGGGAGGGAGTGAAAACTCAAAAGCTTATGGAAGTGACTGTTGAAAACTAAAATAAGTTAATTAATTTTAAAAAGCCAGAAAAAAAAAGAGAGAGTGTGTGTGAGAGAGAAAATGGAAGCATCTATTGTAGACAGTCTTTTCGAGGAGTTTAACTACAAAGGACAGAAGAGAAATAGGATAACAGGGATGGAAGGATCAAATGAGGGTCTTTTTCAGGATGGGGGAGACTTTGGCATGTTTGTAGGCAGTAGGAAACGAGCCAGTAAAGAGGGAAAGATTGAAAATAAGTGAGAGAATAAGACTGACAGAGGGGGCAATCTACTGGGAGAGACAGAATTGAGTGGGATCATTTGAACAAGTAGAGGAGGTAGTCTTGGTGAGGAATAAGGCCATTTCATCAAGTGAAAACAGGAGTGGAGAAAGAGAAAGCAGAAGATGACACCTAAAATGACAGGAGATGAGGAAGGAAGGAGAGGGAGTTCATGGTGAACAGCCTTAATTTTTTTCTGTAAAACATGAGGCAAGATTATCAGCTGAAAGTAGGGAGGAAAGTGAGCCATGGGAGGTTCAACAAAGGCTTAGAAAGGTTGCTTTGGAGAGTGGGACAGTGAATTGATAGAAGAGGTATAACAGGACTGAACTGCAGCAATTGAGGGCCCAGTTGAGGTGTAACATGCATTTGTAGTTGGAACGGTTGTGCAATTTTCTCTACCTTCATTCAGCAGGACATGTGTAGTCACAAAGGCAACAAATGGGGGAAGTAATCCAAGACTGAGGCTTGGCTGGGTTTATAATCAGCAACGTGATAAGTGGGCAAGGGATTCAAGAATAGGATGGTATAGAGTTGAGTTGGTTCACCAAGGAGTCAAAATGGGTAGAAGAGGATAGAGTGGCTAGTACAGAGGAGATGACCTGAAGAAAACTGAGTTGAAGGACTAGAGGATGAAGAGTAGGATTACATAAGGGAAGGCAGAAGGAAAATTGAAAGGTCAATAGATTATGGTCAGAGAAGATGATTTCAGAATTTTTTAACATGGAGGTGGGACAATGGTGGGTGATAGGGTCAGGTGTATGATCACTTTTGTTTGTGGCTAAGGTGGGATGGAGGAATAGCTTATGAGAAGTGAAGAGGTCGGGAAACCCAGTGCTTAGATATCTGAGGGAGAATTAATATGTAGGATGGGCAGGTATTGGGTAGGAGAGAAAAACTGTAAGCAAAGTATTCAACTCACTGAGGAAAGAAGGAGAGTGACCAGAGGAAAGACAGTGTCTGCAGACAACCACTACCACCATTCTGATGGAGTAGTACATATGAATAGCATAAATCACAAAGGAAGAGAGGTTATGGAATGAAGGAGGAAGGGGGAGAACCCGGAAGTGTCAATAAGGATCAAGAAGAATTCCAACTACTCTGTCTGGACCAGTGTGCCAAGGAGAATGAAGAAAGGTGTAGCCATGATTGCAAAAGGTAGTCAGGGAAGCTGTTTCAGCAGGGGAAAGCCAGCTTTCAGAAAGAACCAGTAAATGGAAGGAATGGGAGAGAAAAGATTTAAGATTAAAGGAAGACCACTGCCTATGGAACAGGCATTCCAGAAGGCACACTGAAAGTACCAGGTAGAATTAGGATAAAATTTTGGGGTAGGAGGATTAAGGGGGATGAAAATGAGGAATTGGGTGTTGAGTGGAGTTTGGATGGTGAACTACAGTAGTTCAGCTTCACTGGGATGTGAAGTATATGACCAGGTTTAAGAATGTTCATCATTGAGTGGTAGGTGCCGCTGCTCAACTCTCAAAGAATAGGCATAGCAGGAGATGGGAGACCTAAAGTTGAAGGGAGAGCTGTTCTTTGCACTGGAGGTTCTCCACATTATCAAGTGGGGAGACTGGACTGGTAGCACAAGGTGGAAGATGCCTTGTATTGGTACAGATTGAAGTGGTTGCTTTGGGGAAAATGAAGGATGCCTGGCCTGGTCACAAGAAGCCTTTCCTCAGAGGACATGCTGCACCAAGCAGCAGATAGAAGGCTCAGGACACTAGTGGATTTGGGGTTTGAGGTCTTCTCATCTGAGGTGGCTGGCTATGAGGTAGCGGCAGGAAGGGGCAGACACCCTATGCAAATGAAAAACAGCTGGCTTGGCCCCATCAGCTTTTCCTCAGGGAATGTGCTATGCCCTAATGCACCTGCAGCATGAGGTCTTTTCACATGAGGAGGCTGGCAATGTAGCAAGAAGCGTAAAGCAACAGTGAAAAACAAAAAAGAGATAAGCAGAGAAATAACATTATGCTTAAAGGTTCTATAGATAACGAACCAATATAAAAACCAATACATGCACCAAATACTTAACATCTGAATACTAAAAGAAAAAATTTAAATGAACTATAGGGAGAAATACAGAATAAAATTCTAGTAGTAGGGAATCAAAATATACCACTTTCAAACCTAGATAAATCTAACAAAAGGATAAACAAGAAAGAAGTTAAGAAACCAAAGAGAACTTAAAATACAGTAGAAAAATATGAGAGATAATTCATCTCTGGTGATTAGTGAATGAAAAGAGAATACATGTTTTTCAAGTATACATAGCAAATATACAAAAACTGACCATACATTGAAGCATAAACACTTCACAAACAAATAAAACAAATACTAAACATTTCCTTTACTGACTGCAAGGCAATAAAAATTATATTCAATATAAGGCCTCTGAAGAAAGCATTAAAAATTACCTGGATACTAACTTAATTCTAAAGAACTGGCAGATAAAAGAAATAAGAGAAAATTTCCTCAATGAATATGAGACAACATACCAAAACTTTGGGGATTTAGCTCAAACAGAATGCCCAGCTTCCTTATGTTGTTGTTGTTTAATTGCTTAGGTGTGTCTAACTCTTCAAGATCTCATTTAGGATTTTCTTGCCAAGAATAATGGAGTGGTTTGCTGTTTCCTTCTCCAGCTTATTTGAATTTATAGATAAGGAAACTGAAGCAAACCAAAGTTAAGTGGCTTGCCCAGGGTTACACAGCTAATAGGTGTCTGAGGCCAAATTTGAATTCAGGTCCTCCTGACTCTGGGGCCACTACTCTACCCACTGTGCCACTTAGATGCCCCTGAAAAACTCTTAAGTGTGCACTTAAAAGAAATCTAATAAAAAATTAGAATAAGTGACTTCTTCCAACACAGAACTACACAGAAAATAAGCCAGAAGCCCACAGGCAATAAGAAAGGGCCACCCTTCCTCTCAGCAAAGTCAGAATTATCCTTTCCCAATGAGAAGATAGACAGAACACTTTTTGCCATCTATTTCCAGAGCCAGAAACCTAAGCTTCCCTAAAAGAGACTCAAAGGGATTATAAAGCTCCAATGTGATCAGAAAACCTCATAATGGAGACACTGGAATCCTAAAGGAGCCCCAGCATAAAGGGCAGTAACCAACAGAGCAACAATATTCAGGCTAGGACAGCAAAGGCCCAAGAGCTCTTCCACACAAAAACCCAATAGGGACAAAACCTAGGAAAGGTGGAAAACCACAATTCAGAAACTAAAAGCTTAAGAAATGTGTAAGTCAAAGAAAATACCAATTGATATTAAAAAAAATCATTCTAAGCTAAAGATCTCCAAAAAGAAGATGCACATATTTCAAGAAATCACGAATGAAAACTATCTATATCTATTAGAATTGGAGGACAAAGTAAAGTTTGAAAGAATTTACCATTCACCTCCTGAAAGTAACCCAAAAAGAAAAGGTCCAGGAATGTTACTGCCAAAATCCAGAGTTTCTAGGTCAAAGAAAAAATATTGCAAGCATCCAGAGAAAAGTTCAAATACCACAGAACTGGGTTCACACAAGATGTAGCAGCTTTAACTGGACATGAGAGGAGATCTTGGAATACAATATTTCAAAAGTTAAAAAATATACACTTACAACCAAGAATAACAACCAGAAAAGCTGAGTTTATATAAGTAAAAAGAAAAAATTAATCTTTAATAGAACAGAAGACTTTCAACCATTTCCGATGAAAAAATAAGAGCTGAATAGGAATTCTGAAACACAAACAGAAGAGTTGAGAGACAGTTAAAAAGGTAAAGTTATTTGAGCAACTTGAAGGAGCTCTATGAAAATATAGTGCTAATAAAGTTCCTGATCCATAAGGTATAAGAAAAAAACTAAAATAAGAAAGGATACCTTAGACTGCCTCATCAAACAATGTTTTAAATGCAAAGAACTGAAAGAAGTTCAGAAGGAAGCAGAGATAAGCCAGACCATTTTGAAAGCAATGTATAGAATTTATCATATACTTCAAAAAAAAAAAAAAGCAAGGAGTGTGAAATAAGAGATGTTATCCTCTGTCTGGACTTCTTGGTTTTCCATGGCAACACAAAAGAAATTTGACTACATCAGGAATAAGTTTATCTTGCTTTGTTGTGATATTCCCTAAATATTAAAACTCTTAATAGTTTTTATTAAAGGTTATACTACGCTATAATGAGGAAGACCAAGAGTAAAGTTAAAACCTTGCACGTAACATTTCTTTATTCCTAAACTGATGTTTTCTACATACTACTTACCATCCAAGCAAAACAAAACAAAGCAAAACAAAAAAACAAAAACTACAAAAGTAAATGTAACTTTAAATCACTTACCAAAGGCACTAAAAAGCTGGTATAGGTCACTGGTTTTCCATTCTTTGGGGAACGTCACATGCAGAACATGATCTCGTTTAGGTTGCACTATGAGAAACATTTTTAATGGAAGGTTTACATTTGAAAGGCGACTCAAGTATATTTACTATATTTCCTATTCCAAAGGCAACCAGAGGCCTTATTACTTTCTTTAACTTATTTTGCTACAACAGACATTTTCTGGTAGATACGAAGCCCACACTAACTTGAGGATTCTCAATCAATGTTACGTGATTAACAAATTGTGCTCAAGAACTATGACTTGTTAATAAGATTAATACGAGTATCATCTTACACAAGACCTCACTTTTTCACTATAGTAATAATTATAATAACACAACAAACAATAGCTAACATTTATATAGTGTCTACTATGTGCCAGGCACTGTGCTAAGCGTTTTATAATTATCACATTTAATTTTTACAACTACCTAGGAGTAGTAAGAATTAAATAAATGCTATTATTATCATCATTTTACAGATGAGGAAACTGAGGCAAACAGAAGTTAAATGAATTGCCCAGGGTCACACAGCTAGAAAGTGTCTGAGGCCACATTTGAACTCAGGTCTTCCTGACTACAGGCCCAGCCCTCTATCCACTGTGCCACCAAGCTGCCTACACTGTGAGAATCTCCCAGAGTCCTTATGCTAGACTATTCTTTCTTTTTACAAAATCTCCTTGTAGCTATCACTAATTTTATTTTTAAAGATATAAAGTTTTCTTTGTTCAGGATCTTTCACTAAACCATTTCTTCTCATTTTAATCTGTTTACTTCATATGCTAGTTTAGAAGAGAATGAATAACTCATTGCCCAACATATATGCAGCAGTTTTGCTTATATATAAGTCTCTCAATTCTTCACCCCTAAGGCCCATTATCTAAGTAAAGCAGAAAAGGGGAAGATGAATGAGGCAGGCAGAAGAGAAAAATGATAAGCATTTTCCTTCTAAATATATTGGTTTTTCATAGGTTTTTTAATGGGAGAAAAATCTCCAAATACTAGAAGTAGTTTTTTTTAAAGGTAATTGTGGAAGAAATATTGAGTTTATTTAATAACTGTAAGTGAAACAAATGTCTAATTTTTCTTTATAAACTGGTCATACAAATCTGGAAGAAATCATGAAATCAGAGTTCTGGTTGAAATAAATACTTTAGAAAGCATATGAAAAAGAAAATATAAGCAATGGGAAATAAATATAAGTAGGAATTAATCAAAGCTGAAAGGCCCTATTAATTTAATTATCCTAGCCACAGAGTCACTGTCCACTTTGAAATGAATCAGGAACTTTCTTAAGAGATATTTCATCAGCTAGTCCTAAATATCACATACTGAATTTTTCAAATTCAAAAAAATCAAAATCACTTACAGTCTGGTCCTTCCAAATTGAGATATGGGATATCCATGACCCTCATAAGAAATAGCCTGAGATGACAAGAATGGAGAAATGGTCATGGCCAAACTTACATTTTACTTTAAAGAAAAGGAAATACAGGATTCTGTAAATATTCTGAACAGAAACAACATTATTTCACATATCCTAGTAATAGTTAAATATCATCTACATAAGAAAAACAGTAATTTGGACTAATTAGTAACCACATATAGAAAAAGAGCTTTGACTAATATCAATAAACACCATTAAAATGGTACAAAGCAACACTGCCATTTTGTCGATGACGAAACAATACAAGTATTAGCAAGCATAACCTAAGAAAGTTCTTGCCACCAAAGTCCTTAAACACTATCCAACGGTTCACCATCAGCAACTGATATGATTTCATTAGTACAAATGATATTAAAGGGGAATTAATATCTGCTTTGACAATGTATCCTAAGAACCATGGGACCTTACAGCTGAAACCTTGTGTTGTCTCTCATTAGAACATGAGCTGCCGGACAGCAGAGATTGTCTTCCTTTCTCTCTTTGTATTCCCAGCATTTAGCACAGTTAAGCAAAGTAAATGCTTTATCCATTCATTTATTCATCCTAAACAATGACTTTTTCTGGCTTTGAATAATAAAGTATAAACAAAAGATAAAGAATAGTTAGCTGCTGGGAGGTATTTCTGCATCCCATTGATGGTAAGATAGGAGCTGATTTCAACATAGGTTTCCATTTTTATTTCTTAAGTGAAGACGCTCTTAAAAATATTAATGATAAATTTTATATTTAAACAGATTAATGATGCCTGGTGTATAGTCACTTCTACTAGCAAAATTATAATTCATCCACTGCTTCTCATCTTGACATTCCTGTCCGTGTACTTCCATAAATCCTCCATAATAGATATATCCAATGCACTGAAGGATTTCCTCTCTGCCATTTAATATTCTTGGATACTTAATATACATATTATTCCTCATTCTCAAAATGACTTTTTATGCATGTCCTTGATTGTGACTATTATGCTACTTCTCTCAATGCAAATCACTGCTGCAAATTATTCACTTCTTTCCTAACTTTCCAAATTCTCTTTTCACTAAAAGTGATTTTGTTTTCACTGACTTTTAAAATTTGATTTACTCAACTAATATCTGCAGAACTGCTACTTTTTGATAATGGACTTACTATCAATTAAAAACTACTTTATCCTTGGAATAAGTCTTATATTAGACTACTGTCACTATCTTGCAATTAAAGACTCATTTCTACCCCTCATTCAAGAGTTAGTGATCTATTTAACAAGTGATAGCACTAATAGGAGAAATAAACACATTGCTCAAAGGAACCAAAAATACTACCCATGACAATAAAATCTTTTATCACTAAAATGGTCTTATTTTAAAAAATTATTTCTCACCTACTATACAACTTTGTGGTCCTGATTTACTGGTTAAGAATCTATCTTAATTTTTTCAAAAACTGTGCTCATGTTTCACTTTACTAATAAATTAATCCTAACACCTAAGAATTAGCCTAAAGAAGTTAAATCAAACTAAGAACTTGGGAAATCATTCTTACAAATACGTTAGCAGTCTCAATATTGTATCATGCTATAAAAATTCATAAAGTGAAATTAAATTCTCCACTAGAAAACTCAGAGATTAATCCATGAATTCTAGTGAATCCCTCTATTTATAGATTTAGGAACCTAATGTCTAAGTAAAATTATCTTCTTTGAGAAATACATTCCTGAAAAAGGAAAAAGCATTACAATATAAGACTGCAAGAACAAGGAAGAGATCTACGAAGGAATGATGTAACAAAAGAATTGTAATAGGGCTTCTTTAAATAGTAGTTTTCCTATTGCAGTCAGCAAGCATTAATTATTATTAATTAATTTAGATTCAAGAAACAGTAAAGGTTATAAAAAATCTAAAGTACTAGGAGTACTGAAGACTGAGACTCAAAAAGGCAGCTAGATAGATGGGTGTGGTACCTAGGAGTGCTGGACTTGAAGTCAAGAAACCCTGAGTTCAAACCAAATGGTACCCAAGTTGTTAACCCTGGGCAAGTCATTTAACCTCTGTGAGCCTCAATTTCTTCACATATAAAACGATGATGACAGAATCCAAAATTGCTTCCAATCTTAATCTATGATCCCTTGGATCATCTTTGACATGATCATTCAAAAGTTTAAAAAAAAATAACTGTTTAATATCCAAAACTTCAATTAATATAGGCAACTTTCCAGAACACATTTGAAAGTATGACATTATTAATAAATGATAACCCAGGCTTGCATTTATCTGGTTTGATCTAGCAATTAATTGGAGATGAAAAAAAGGTCAAATATAAACTGATTTTTCAAACTGTATAACATTTTATAATCATAGGAAATTATTAAATTGATAACTTAGATTCTAATTTAGAATTTGTAATAATTAGAATGTACTATTGTTCTTCACTTTTGTACAAACTGTCATAAAAGGAATTTGTTAAGCAACTCCAGTGTGAACAAATTTATGTAGGAGCCATATTTAATCCACTTAACAGTATTTTTTGACTTTATTTAGCACTATAGCAAATGGATTATGTTCCTAATAACTAAAAATAAACAACTTATTTAATCCTAATGAAATTCAACAGTATCTTTACTTAGCCTGTTAACTGTTTTGTTTTGCACATACTGGAAAACAGCGAACTGGTACAGCTGAAAATTTTTACTAATTCATGCTATCCTTTAATTTTTTTTAATAACCAAGGTTTCCTCCTGCTGCATCCATATTGTCTATATTGTCTCATTTAGTAAAGGAAAAAAATGAGTTTAAAGGAAACATTGAAAATGTATTAACAAAGGATTCCTTTTTTGTTTGTTATTTTTTAATTACAGACTTACCTAATACTATATTTGGAAAACTTGTGGAATCTTTCTAGTGGGCACATACATATATACATATGGTTTATGACGTAATATTTTAAAAGATCTTCCTTGATTAATCTCATTAATGGGGTTATTTACAGAAACAATGTAAATTATTATCTGTGCTAAGTGTCTTTGATAGCTAAACTCCTTGAAAAGACCATCTACAATAGGTGCCTCCACTTCCTCTCTCACTCTCTTCTTAAACCCTTACAATATGGCTTCCAACCTTATCATTCCTAATTTTTTTTTTTGGCTAGGCAATGTGGTTAAGTGACTTGCCCAGGGTCACACAGCTAGTAAGTGTCAAGTGTCTGAGGCTGGATTTGAACTCAGGTCCTCCTGACTCCAGGGCCGGTGCTCTATCCACACCTAGTTGTCCCCCAATATTATCATTCCAATAAAACTGCTCTCTCCAAAGTTACCAGTGAACTTGTAGTTATCAAATCCAACAGTCTTTTCTCAATTCTTCTTGCTTTCTCTATAGCCTTTGACACTGTTAATCAGTCTCTTCTCCTTGATAGTCAAATTATTACAGCCTATAGGCAAATTATTTCTATTGTATAAAACCTTTTTTGAATTAATATTAATTTCTAATCCAAACACCCAAATGACAAAAAACTATCCAAACAACATTGTCTACCAATTATTTCAACCAAACAGAAAGTCCTTATGTACAATTTATTAATAGCTTTTCTTAACTTTTTCCTAAGCCTCGGATTTAGTGATTTTTTTGGACATTGGACAATGTATGCAAACCATGTCAAAACACTGAAATCCCACACTGCATGTAATTTGGCAACCAACAATATGTTGAGAAAATCATGAGACTGTAAAATGAACTCTTGTATTTTGCAGCTTTGCTTCTGGGAACAGAAACCAAGGCAAACTCCTCCCAGTAAACTCTCATCTTCCTTGTAAAATGCTGCTTGCAGACCATTACACAGGAAAAAATTTGTGGTCTTTGAAATTTTAATAAAGCCCTTTTAAGTGAATGTACACTACACACAGGCTAGCCGTCATAGGGTCTATAATAATTCTCTGAAATGAGAGGCTAAAGTATTTTACATAGAAATCACCTTACATGACATTAAATTTTAAGCAAAAACAGGGAAAAACCGTAAACAAGCAAAAATTTTGATATGTATATAAAAAGCTGTTCCTTCACTGTGAACTGTGTTAAGGAATAATTAGAATGTCTTTCATCTTTAGATATCAAAAGATATTCACTCAAACCAATAATTCTATAAAATTTCATTCTTATTTCTGTGATGGTGCTATGCAGCCATAGACGTGCAAACAAAAAAATTAAGAAAAATATTGTTCTTAGATCCTTAATGTAATGCCTCTCTTCATGAATATTTTACCATTTATTTAGCATTTGTTTGACATTAACAACAAAGAAGATACTTTTTGCAATTATCTCTTCCTTCAGTACTGTCTTAAGTAATGAGGTGGTCTTACTCCTTACCAAAGCTATCCCATCTACTTGCTCAAGTGATCCCATTCCATCCTATCTCCTCCAACATATTATCCCCTTTGTCATCTTCACTCTCTCACTAATTTTCAATCTCTCCCTGTCTCCTGGCTCATTCAGTTCTGTCTCACAAATATGCCAATGTCTTCCCCATCCTGAAAACTCTTACTTGATCCTTCCATCCCTAACAACTATTGCCCTATCTCTCTTCTGCCCTTGGTAGCTAAACTCCTTGAAAAGGCCATCTGCAATAGGTGCCTCCACTTGCTCTCTTCTCACTCTCTTGTTAACCCCTTACAATCCAGCTTCCAACTTTATCATTCCACCAAAACTGCTCTCTGCAAAAGCAAACTAAAACTCTGAGGTACCACCTCATACCTATCAGATTGGCTAATATGACAAAAAGGAAAAATGATAAATACTGGAGAGGATGTAGGAAAATTGGGACACTAGGGGCAGCTAGGTGGCGCAGTAAATAGAGCACCGGCCCTGGATTCAGGAGGACCTGAGTTCAAATCTGGCCTCAGACACATAACACTTACTAGGTGTGTGACCTGGGCAAGTCACTTAACCCCACTGCGTATCGGGGAAAAAAAAAAGAAAAAGAAAATTGGGATACTAATGCACTGTTGGCAGAGTTG